CATAAGGATCAGAAGGAGGAAGTAGTCCTGGCAAGGCTACGCATTGGTCATAGTTTTTTAACCCATCGTTTTCTGTTATCGGGTATTGACCCACCAATGTGTAGCCATTGTAACACTCAAGTCACAACAGCCCACATTTTAATGTCGTTACGACCGTGAGCGGCGGCATCATTTTAGACACATTTTATCTAAAAGTTTACTCCTGTCTGATTAGATTGTATTTTTAATTTTTTACACACTATAGGTATTTTTAATTCTGTATAAATCTTTTATAGACATGTATTGGTTTTAACTCGCTGTATTTTTACATTTTACATTAACTTACTTTCATTGTTTTTACCGGTTGTTTGGCGCAGATAGCCTTGCTGCTTTGCACCATAAAGCACCAACCAACCAACCTTCACAATGGTAGCATATATGCATCTGTTCCTGTTGCTCATTTGGTTCACTAGAAGGAAATGTATGAAAATCTCAAATTTATTCTTAATAAGGTCAAATACAAAGAACATGGTTAGCTACTTTGTGGAGACTTAAAAGTCCTTTGAATGTTATTGGGTCAACAATTCAGCTATACAAAATTTCCGTGATTTTTGTGTGAATAGAACAGCAGAGCACGAAATCAGCATTGGATAAAGAAGCAATGGCCATGCAGAGTCAGCCTGATACCAGGATCATAAAATATTGAATGTGAAAGTTTGGTTGACACAAAGAAAGTTCTATTACCTCCACTTCACATAAAATTGGGCTCGATGAAGCAGTTTGTAAAGGCCTTAGACAAAGATGACAACTGTTTCAAGTATCTGTGTGGGCAATTCCCAGCTCTTTCAGAAACAAACTTAAGGAAGGGATTTTTGTTGGGCATCATGTTAGGAAATTGACTTTGGATGAACAGTTCAATAGGACAATGAGGAAAGTTGAAAAAGATGTCATTGACAAATTTTTAAGTAACAGCAAGGACCAAAATTATGCAAATATTGTCAATAACATGGTAAATAAATTCAAAGAGCTGAGTTGTAATATGAGCTTGAAAATCCATTTCATACACTCACATATTGATTATTTCCCTGAAAATCTTGGTGCCATTGGTAAAGAACAAGGGGAACAGTGGAACATCAGCATGATGGCTGATTACTGCTGGTCATTGGAATGAGATTCTCCAGGTGCAGTACATAAGTGAATAACCACAACACGTAGTTTTGAGACTAAGACATAGATTTCACACACAAAAATTATGAAAATGAGGATCCATGTTCGTTTGACATTAGTGTTCTTTCCTTTTCATCAGTATGTTTGTATTTTTGCTAACAAACATAATAATAATAAATGGCCCAAACATATTCTGTTATATTTGTTGTAAATTTGATCTAAGTAAGAGTCGTCTTTTTTCTTTCTGATTTGTAAAAATTCCTTATGTAATAGAAAAAAATTAATATTATTTTCGAAATCTGCATAGCTGAATTATGGGAAATCCATTATTAAAATCAAAACAACTTTTACGAAGTTTAAATTTGCATGCCTGTGTAATCTCGTGATTTTATGGTTTAGTTTGTATTACTTTTAATCTTATGCTATTATTATATTTGTAGTACTCATGTTATCATGATTTTATGGGTTTACTTCAAAGTAATTAATACTTGAAATTGTTGGTACTTTGTGAAACTCCATAATTACATAACTAATGAAAACAATGATAATTGCACATTTCACAAATATTTATTACTATCATGGTTTTGCAAGTAAAGACATCTTTAGGTTGAGACTGAAATAGCTTATAAACAAATATAAACCTGCTTACAAGCTATTTCAGACTTTACCCGATGATGCTTTTACTGGCAAAACATGATAATAATAGATGAAATATTTGTAAATTGTACAGTTATCTTTGTTTTCCTTAATTCTAACCTATCGATTTAGTTCATATTACTTATGATCTCTCAATCTTAATGCTTTAATTCATAATATTCTGATACTTTTGATTTAGTTAATAGTGTATATTCTTGTAATCTCATGATTCTATTAGTTTAGTTCATGGTAGTCATGCCCCTGTAATATTTAATATATTAACTATTTAACACTTTATTATAACTAAAAATTAAATTTAAGAACCTAATAAAAATTTGCATTCATTATAAGACTCGTGTATTGAAAAGTTTTTCATTATATATATATGTTTTTCTATTGTTTTACTAGAATTCTTTCCAATGCAACGGGTGGTTTTGTTGTAATAGATGATATAAGGTACCATGTGAATGCTGACAACAATCTAGTGCAAAAATGGTAAGCATGATACTTGTTTGTAATTCAAAGCATGCGTTACATTACCTAATTAAAATTAGGACCCACACACAGTTCAAGTGAAAGTGGCTAAAAGTATCCAAGTTTGGCTGCATGGAGGGTCATTGTCCTACATTCTTCTAACTTAGCACTTTTCTTTATATGATAGGTTAGAATATCACTGGCCTGTTTATGTTGGTCAGGATACTGCCCATCTCTGTTTGCCCCCAAAAAATATTTTTAAGAACCTTTGTTCAGCCTCATAAAGCTTCACAGAAACAGTGACCTGGACCTGTAATCACCACATATGACAGTGATCCTCAATTATTTTTTGCACTGTACCACTTCATTTAATGACCATAAAGCCAGGAGCCAGGCCTAACCTATAAGTGTCCACTGACATATGATTGAACCTACTTCAGAAGTAACACTAACCTGGACTTGGATTCACCCAATATCATGTAGCCTTTTTCAAAATTTATACTAACCTGGATTTTTACTCACCACATATGGTGCAACATACTTCAAAATTAAAACTAACCTTGATTTGTACTCCACGAATATTGTGTAACTATTTCAAAATGGACACTAACTTCAACTTGTACTTGTCACATATGGAGTAACCTAGTTCAAAATCAACACTGACCTCAACTTTTATTCACAACACATTGTGTAAATATTTTAAAATATACATTAACATGGGCTTGTACTCACTACATGTAGTGTATTCTAGATTATTTTGTACAAATTATTTTATCGAGAAGGGATGTAGTAAGCACTGGTTTCCAATGTATAGATTTGTATAAAGAAAATTAATTTAACTCTCTATTAATTTCGTTTTTAAATATAATTTCTTTTTTTCAAGAAGAATTAAAATTTTTCTGTAGGACTGATCTTTATATCCATGTTGCAAATGAAGATGGCAAGATGATCTCTATTCCTGAGGTTATAGAAGCTGTTGATACCAATGCTAGATTGTTTGAAGCGCAGTCCAAAATGTTACAGATTCATAAAGTGGTTGTAAGTACAAATAATGTTTCTGTTTTTAATAGTAACTTCTTGTAGATACATAGATTCATTGAAAAAGATTATATCAGTAATATTTATTAACCAGTGCGACAATAGGTTATGACATTTTAGTGATCAATAGGCATGTTTAAATGGATATGTTTGGTTATATTTTTTAGATATGTACTGTAGTAGGAACAGATATTTTTAATTAAACTTTATAGTGCCATAGAATAGAAGAAACAAACAGTTCCAGTAACATAATACATAGACAGTAAAGGACAACTTAATCCTTCAAGGCTATCCCTATACATCTGCCCTTGAGAAAAAGGAAATCTTCAAAGCAACCTTTTGTTTTCAAAAAAATTATTGATTCTTCTCTTAAACTATTGTGAAGCACTGACCTTCATTACTGCCAATCACAATTCATTTTGTAAGCAAATTACCCTGCTTAATATAAAATAAAACTGTTAACTGGAACCAAGCCTGTCTTTTTCTAAATCTTAAATGTGTGTCTTCTTTTTATGTCCTGTTGTCTTTGTAAAATAGCACAAAGAAGCAGGAGGCCTTTACTCTTTTGTCCTGATGATCTGTAAACTTTAACACCATCATCTATTATCTTTCTTTTCTCAAGAGAAAATAAGAGATCTTAACTCTAAGAAAACTCTTTCATCCTTGGAATCTTCCTAGTAGCCCTACTCAGAACCCTGGTCAGTAAGTCAGTATCCTTTCTTAGATAAAGAGGATAGAACTATGTAGAATATTAAATGTAAAACCTAACTAGTGTTTTGTATAGACGTAAATACCTCTTTTTGACTTATAATCAATATGTTTATAAATATGCCCTAAAATTCTGTTAGGAACAGAGCGTTGTCGTGATTGTTTGTGTAATTTATCCACTACTGTGCCAAAAAGCATTTTCTTCAGTCACACTATTGAGTGGACTCGCATTTGTATTAAATGTGTTAAATACATGTTCAACTAATCAATTGATCTAATTTATTCTGTAGTACCAGAATGTCTTCAGCCAGAAATACCCAAGAGTTTAATATCATTAATGTAAAGAAAATCATTAAAAATATGACTGGACTCCATTAATTACAACTTTCTACTTTCTTTTGTTCAACCATCCTACAGTCCAATTTAGTAGTCTTTCACCCACTCACTCCCAATTTAATTTTCTTAGCTAACATTTTATGTGGAACTTCATCAAAATATTTTTTTTAAATCTAAGTATGCCTACTTCACACCCTCTTCATCATCCGAATAACATCTAACATTCTCAAAAAAAGCTAGCAGATTAGTAAGGGAAGATTTTCCATTAGTGAACCATTAGTTGTTTTTTAGTCAAATCCCTAGTTTCCTATGGTTCTATAAATCTTCAATCCAAGGAGTGAAATTCTCGAAAAAAAAAGTAGAGTACTCAGCTGGGTGAAGTGGAACTGTTTCTGAAAAAGAAAAAAAAAATCTACATCTAAATGTAAAATGACAAAGCAGCTCAAATAAGTCCGAGTGGTAATACTGCCTTAAGAAATAAGTTCTAGTACTCAGTATGGGTGAGTACTGGTAGAATTTCACCCCTGTTCCACCCTGTCTGTTAATATACACCTCGTAGACTTGTGGCATTTATTTTTAATTTTCTTCTCTATAATTTTAGACTTTCCCTGTTATTCTTCATTCTCTTTTTATGAACATGCTTATCTTTAATTAAGAAACATTATATTTTTCTTTAATTTCTCTCTTCACTAACAAAATAGGTTTTGTCTCGTGGCCTCAAAAATGGCTTTCTGAAAATTAGAAATGAAACTTTAATTTCTCATTCTTAAGAGTTACTAACTTAATTACTCAAATTATATAATGTTCATGATCACAAACTCACTTTTAGAGGCCAAACATTTTACTTCAAACAATTATATATAATATTACCACCAAAAGCTGTTTCAAGAACTTTATGTACAGTACATTCATTTCTACTTACCTCACTATGTAAGAAAACAAACCTTATTGTTCAATGATCATTGTTTCCCAAATGTTTCTCCACTTCAACTGTTGCAACCAGATCTTCATTAATGTTTAACATAATTCTGAAACTGAATCCCCTGGGGATGATATCTAACCATTTGGTACAGAAAACCATCCTAACCATAAAAAAAAAAAAAACACCTCTCCCTCTCACTATTTGACTCCATTCAATCCCAGTTCTTGTGTCTAAAATATAAATCTTCTATAATTATTGAAACAGTATAGAAACAACTCTTATCTCACTATACACGTTCTCATTGGCATCATCTGTCTGTTCAGGTGGCCTATAACAACTGCCAGTTAAAAACTTTCTACTATTGAAACCTCTGATTTTAACCTATGCAGATTCAATCTTTTTACTGTTTTTCACATCTTCATTTGCAACAGAATTCAATTCATCTCTTACATAGAGTGACTCCACCTCCTCTTTTAAAGTCTTTCACTATTATTGAATAACTTATAACAATGTTTCTCAACCAAGGTGCCACAAGATTTTAGCAAAATATTGTTATCTCTATGACCCCACCACCCCACCCTTGGCTAACCCACTGTTAACTACTATAAAATGTTAGGGGTGTTGTGGAAATTATAGACTATGAATAAGGATGTCTTGAGCAAAAGAAAGGTTGAGAAACATTGATGTATAACCTGGAATTTAAAAATAATTTCTACTGTAATCTACATGAGCCGATGTTTCCATTTATGAACGTTATATTTTAAGATCTGTGCAAGAACTCAGCTAACAGATGTTTCCATATATCAAAGCTATCTTCAAGTTTTGTGCAATGAAAAACTTTTCATCTACTGTAAATATTCTCCAAATCTAACCAAGTTTCAGTTTGAGTACCAAACTCGTCCATTTTCTTCTTTATGCTCCTTACTTTAAAATAATAGTAACTAAGTTTATTCTTGATTACACTCTGTTTGTCTTTACATCTGACAGTCTTATCTTTTAAAAATTGTATATAATTTATACTCTCAATCGTTTTTTTTTTTCAATCTCCTTACTGCCCTAGCTATCTTACCAATTTATTTGTTCACAATTTTCCAAGCTACTTAACCTACTTAAGTGACACCCATCTCTAGCATATAATTCACTCTCACCTTAAATATCACGCAGATTCAATCAGCCCACCTTATGTTTTCAGCATGATCTTGATAATCTTTCATCTAAGCTTTAGATCCTCCTGGATAATTCATTCTCACATCTAACCATAACGCTACACATTTGTTTTTCACCTTTAACCTCTGAAGAAGTTCTTTATCTTTTTTAAGTAGCTCTTCTGATTTACAGCTTTCAATATCATTTGCTCTTACGCCTACTTCAAAGACTAAAATACAACTTGGTACCAGCAGCCAAACTATCAATACACTCTATGAAGTTGTGTGTTTTAGCAACTGGCACGCATATTTTAGTTCTAAAATTTATCTTATTTTCACTTTCAGTAACTTTATGAGCATGCCTAATAAGAAAGCCTCCCATTATTTAAAAATTTTAATCAGTTCACTCCTCATTGCAAGCAGCCAAAGGTTCAAATCTGTTCGAGTTGCACCTCATTGCTAACTGAAACCAACTTTATAACCCTAACTTTTTTACTACCATGTATCCAAAGCACTCTTTACTCTAACTCTGTCTGTTTTATGTCTTGCTTCCTTGATTTTTGCTCCTAATCTGATATTTCTCACAAAGCTATCACTAACTTATCTACAAACAAATGAGCTGTGCATGGGTAGAGTATTATATCTTTCATAGCCTACTGAAAATTGCATTTAAACTTACAATTCTCAAACAAATTTTTTCCATACTATTTAATAGTGCCATAGAGTTGTTGGGACAGATAGAAAACAGAACAAACTATGAGAAGTCTTGATATTGAAGAAACTAGTTTTGACACAATTGTGTGTCCTTTTCAATCTCATGTAGTTTTCTGGCAGAACAACTGGTCAATAACGCAATATTGAGTTACAGTTTATAATGCCATAGATAGGTTAGAACAGAAACATTCCATAACATTTGATAGAGCCATAAGGAAGAAGAAAGAAATACTTTCAGTTATATTTTGTAAATCTAGTTGTTTGTCGGAGCAGACTTGGTAAATATGGATGATCTCTTAGTACACAGGAGCACTAAGATATTTTGCATTTACAGAGTGGCCAGATAGTTTGAGAAGTAATCACTCCATTAATAAGATTGTCATGATATAAAAGGCTGTTTAGTTTAGATGTTATTGATTGATTTGCTTTTGTGAGTGAATAGTTTATCATTGTTTAGTTTTTGTTATAATAAGAGTTAAAAGCAGATGATTGTAGGAGGTTTTGTTAATAATTCATTGATGTTAAGACTATTGAATGTCACGTGTAATAGAGTGATGTCAAGAATATAGAAAGCGGACAGACGATTAGATGATAAAGATATAAATAGAGTGAGATGGGTGTGAAGCAGCAGACAGATAATAGCAGAAGAAAGTAAAGTTACAAAAGGAGAAGTTAATAACTAGGCAGTCTGTCTCAGCCCACTTATCATAGGAAAAGACCTACAAGTATATGCAGGCATGACATCAGAAGATGGATTATGACAAATTAAAAGTAGCTTTACTGAAACGATATCAACTTACTGAAGAAGATTTTTATCAGAAGCTCAGAGTAGTCAACTCAAACACTGGAGAAATGGTGTTTAAGTTTGTGGCATGTCTGCAGTTATATTTCACCAGATGGACTGATATAGCCATGTGTAAAAATAGTTTTGAGGGACTGGCAGACCTATTAGTATGTGAACAGTTCATGACCATGTGTTCAACTGACATGTCGCTGTTCGTGAAGTAGAGAGCACGAAAAGACGAGATGATCAAGCTGGCAGAACAGTATATGGAAGTCCATGGAGGTAGCATAAATGGCAAATCAAGAATGTCCAGTTAACTTTGAAACCAGTAATAGCTGACCAGATGCAAGAGTTTACCAAAGGTGACAGGAGATTAATAAACACAAGGGAGGAGAGATGCTATGTTTGTTATAAAATGGGACACATTGCAAAGGAGTGCAAGTCCATTACCAACAAACAACAGCAAAAACCTCAACATAAAGCAGCTGGAGCTATTTACAAAGACAATGCTGGTAAGAAACAAGAAAATGTGAGTAGCACTAGCATTATGGATGCTGCTGCCAGAAGAAAACATGATTGATCAGTGCATGAGTAGTGGTCAGCTCAAGTTAGCAAATGGATTAACAGTGGCAACAGTGATTGGAGCATGTGATAAATATCAAGAGGTGCCAACAAATCATAATATGCCAATATGTGAAGGCTATGTTGGGAACAAGAAAGTGAAGGTTCAACGAGACACCGGGTGCAGTAGTGCAGCAGTGAGAACTAGTCTACTATACGATTATCAGATGACAGGCAAGGTATGCCTGTGTGAGCTAATTGATTGGACAGTGAGAAAGTTTCCCATAGCAAAAATAAAGGTGGATACTCCATATTATGCAGGAGACATTGAGGTCATGTGTATCAAGGAACCAATTCATGACTTGGTGATAGGAAACACACCAGGTTGTAGAAATTTGGAGGAACTAGACAGAAAAAAGATTGAAGCATCTGCTATCACCACCAGAGCTCAAGAAAAGAAGAGCAAACAAGACATCAAGCCCCCTGCAAATGTCAAAAGGCAACATCCCAAACATAGATGTGCAGAAAGCACAGAAGAAAGATGCTTCACTGCAGAAACTTTGGGACAATGCCCGGGAGAATGTCTAGCACAAAACAAAGGGGAAAGATACTTATAAAATAGAGGACTGGAAGGGAGTTCTATACTGAATCTATCAAAGCAGTTATACTGGAGAAGTTAAACAGATCATAGTACTAACAGAATACTGGACTCAAGTGATGAAGTTTGCTCATGAATCAATTGTGGGAGGACACCTAGGAACAAAGAAAACAGCAGACAGGATCACCAGTAACTTCCATTGGCCGGGAGTCATTGGAGATGTGAGTAGATTCTGCAGGTTATGTGACATTTTTCAAAGGATAATACCTAGAGAGAAGGTAGCCAAAGTGCCTTTGGGGGAGATGCCTCTCATAGAAGAGCTGTTCAGCAGAGTAGCTATGAACTTGATTGGGCCACTAGCACATGTGTCTGACAAGGGCAACTGGTATGTGCTGACAGTAGTCGACTGTGTGACACGTTATCCAGAAGCAATAGCACTGGTGAAGATAGAGAGAGAGAGAGATAGTAGCAGAAGCCCTTATGGAGATATTTTGCAGAATAGGTTTTCCAAGAGAAATCCTGAATAACAGAGGGACCCAGTTTACTTCAGAAATGATGCAGGAAGTGTGCAGACTCATCAGTACTCAGCACCTCTTTACTACCCCCATACAATTTTAAATGTAATGAACTTTGCAAGAGAGTCAATGGAGTTTTAAAGAGTATGCTAAAGAAGATGTGCTAAGAGAGACCACATGACTGGAACAGGTACTTGCAGACAGTATTATTTGTTTATCGAGAATCTCCACAAACAAGTACGGGATTTTCACCCTTCAAGTTATGGTATGGAACAACAGTATGGGGTCCAATGCAAATATTGAAAGAGCTATGGTTGGGAGAAGAAAAGTCAGAAGTGAGAAACACATACCAGCATGTGTTAGACCTCAGAAACCAACTAGAGGACACCTGTCAACTTGCTTGCAGCTCATGGTAGTCAGAAGCATTTCCATGACAAGAGGCCCAAGGATCGATGTTTCAAGGTTGGACAAAAGGTCTTAGTTCTGCTGCCCACAGACCACAACAAACTCACCCTGCAATGGAAAGGACCATTTGAAGTAAAGAATGAACTACAAGATGAATGTGAATGGGACGATCAAGATCTACCATGCCAATCTGCTGAAGAAGTATTTTGAGAGAGAAGACCTAACAGGTGCAGCTTATTAATGTACAAATGGACATAGCAGGTGTGGCTGTCATAGAAGAAGAATTCAAAGACAGTGATTTCATTATAGAAGATGAGGACCTAATAGTACGGAGTAGAGATGAGACGTACAAGGACGTCAACATGAGTGTCAAACTGATTGATATGAAGAAGGAAGAGGAACAGAATCTACTGTGTCAACATACAAACAGATTAGGAAACGCGGACCTCAGGCAACACAAGGTCAAGATGAAGATGAGGGATCCTGTTAAGGAGAAGCCCTACTGGAGAACCTATGCTAGAGAGACAAACAAAGGAACTGTGAATATTAGTGTAGACTGTATGAGCAGACTTTGTGTATGAACTAAGGACAGTCTTTATATATAGTGAAAAAATATTGTAAATATTTCATCTTGAAGAGGGGCTTATGTCATAATATAAAAGACTGTTTAGTTTAGATGTTATTGATTGATTTGTTTTTATGAGTGAATATTTTATTATTGTTTAGTTTTTGTTATAATAAGAGTTAAAAGCAGATGATTTTAGGAGGTTTTACTAATAATTCATTGATGTTGAGACTATTGAACATCACATGCAATAGATTGACGTAGAGAATATAGAAGATGGACAGATGATTAGGTGATAAAGATATAAATAGAATGAGATGAGCGGGAAGCAGCAGACAGATAATAGCAGAAAAAAGTAAAAGTTACAAAAGGAGAAGTTAACTACCATACAAGTGATAAGCCTAATGATTGACATAGGCCTAACATTTAATATATTAGAGTAAGACTAACAGTAGAAACGGAGATAAGAAAAATAATTTATTCTGGCAAAGCGTCATTATAAAGTAATTGAATCACCATGAATGCATTTTGACAAAAGGAACAGAGGATCTTCAGAAGAAAGAAGACCAAACAATCACAGTACCTCGTGCCACAATTGTAAGCGAATCACACACAGAATACTAGTGCAATAGTAATAGAAAAGATAGTTTGGCTTGTCAACTGAAATTCTAAAGTAATTGAATAGGCCTAAGTGAACTTTTGACAACAAGAAGAGAACTATACATATAGGCTTATGATATGCCTATAATCTCTATAGTGTATATTATTTTGAAAACAAGTGAAGTGCATGCTGTTCATATATCATTCAATTTATCACTAACAAGTCACAGACACCTACCATAGAAGAATCCTAAGCCCAACAACAACGTAGTTTATATTTATACTATTAAGAAATATAAGTAAAAGCCTTTTTATTTTGACACTGTGCAAAAAAGAAATAATTATAGATCTTTTTTTAATTCTGACAAAGATAAATATGTATTTTTAAAGTGTCAACTTAGTACATAGGAGTAATCTGTTCATTAGTGGTGTTATTACATGGTCTATAAAGTAATAAACTATGAACTTTTATTCTTAACTGTATTTAGTACAAACTGAAGATTAATAATCTTGTAGGTTATTGATAAAATCTGATGAAGCTTTAATAGTGTAATATTAAGCTAATTAAGATGAATTATGGAAATATAGGTTGTTATTTATAATGACTTACAAAATAAAATGATTGGGAAACATAACTATAATTTGTTCTTTTATTCATCATTTAGCCAGCCTATGTTGGAATTGAAGAAGAACAGTTTGATCTGTCCTTGGCTGTACTGATTGCTTTGTTGGTTGTTCTGTTTGTAGGAATTATCACAATGATTGTATGTTGTATGTGTCTCAAGTCTTGGTAAGTCAGTTGTTAAATTAGATCATTTTGTTAAAGTTGTAACATTTGAGACTTAATTGGCAAACTTTCCAAAAATGGTGATTCAATGAAGTTTTGCACTGATACAAAATTTTCTAAGTAGTACAAATGACAGAAGAAAATGTGTTTTAATTTATGATGTTTGTGTGTTTTAACAGTAGATTTGTATTTTCACTTTATTACAAGAAAGCCTACCTGAGACACTTGTATTGTGAAAGATATTTTAATGCTATAGTTTAACACGTTTGCAACATCATTCACCACTGGTGGTACATATGCATGTTTTCTGTTGGATGTTGTGACCCATTCATGATACACATAATATATAACTGTACCTCATATCTCCAAAGTCCTATATGAAGCATTTATTTTATACGGATGGCTATAATAAATCTATGCCTTCCATCATGTACCACTGGTGGAGCACGGATGCCATATTGAAATGGCAACTGAAATAAATCAAATTTACATGATTAAATCACTTTTTATTTTAAAATTACATCTATAGATTGGCATTAAATTTTTCATTGTGAGTAATTGAAGCAAAAAAAACACTAATTGAGACTTGTTTCATAAATAACAAAACTGTTATGAAGACTAATATAATAAAGATAGAACTATTATCATCCACAGTATGGATTATTTTATCTGATGTCCTTTTTTAAGACCATAAAATTGTGAATTATTCATAATTCTTCTAAAAAGAACAGCAAGATTAGGATGAAAAAAAATATTAAATATTATGATGATTTCATTATTATTACTTAAATCATAGTATGCACCACCAGTGGCATGACAGCCAAAGCTTTAATAGGTAAAGACAGGACGTCATCTACCACCGGTGGTGCACTCAAGAGAAAGTTCCCGATGCAGTCATTCTATCATAAAACATAACATAAATCCATAAAATTAGCTGTATCTAAGGCAGAGTTCTCAATGAGGCCTTACATTCCTATTGCATAATTAGAGAAATCACTTACACTGTGAACGTGTTAAAATGTAAATATCTGTTATAAAAGTACTAACCATGTTTAGTTAATAATGCTACTAAATGTGTATCTTTTCAAGAAGATATCTTGCAAAAGCTGTTAACTAACTTCTTGTATATTATTCTTTTCATTCATTTTTGTAATTTTTTTCTTTGTCTTGTTTCAGGTATGCTGTAAAAATCAAAGAAGCTTTAAGTAAGTTTTCAAATAATTAAATAGAAATTAGTTTATAATATAATTCATCAGCTAAACAAACAAAACAACAGATAAAAAAATTATAATATCTTTTTTGTCTCATAATATTAAAAACTTAGAAGATAAATTTATATATGCAAGTAATTAATGTAGCTTTACAGGGTAAGAAAATTGCAACATATAATTTTTTTTCCAGTGTTTTGTAACAGCTGAAAGAAAGCAAAGCATATAGCATTATTATGAGGTACTTTATATTTAATAGCTTCATAAGTTGTGGAAAGTTGGATTTAAAGTTGTTTAAAGAATTAGAAAGCATCTTGATAATATTTTGAAATAAATTAGGGTTGATATACATATATATATAGAAAAAAATTATATTAACTGAGAATTATTTATTATTTTGCATCACCAGTTCTGTTTATTGTACTTATTTTAAAAATCATACTGTTTTTTTCATGAATGCTACGGATATTGGTTTCTAATGCTTTGCCAGCTTTTGGTATTTAAACCTTAACTTTTAAAGTCTTATACTGCTTATGTAAATAGCACTTCAAAAATACTTTCTTTTTGTCTCTCATCATCCAGCTAACTGATAACTTCTAGTATGGAATGAAAAGCATTGTGGGTGACTTGTAGGAGACAATAAATAATCCAAAATGCTATTTTTTTTACACACCTCTGATTTGGAATCCAAAATAGAGAAATTAAGAAATATGTGAAAAAATCATCTGCAGTTTAATTAATTTTCACCACAAAAAACCACTCCTTATCGTGTGACCACAAAATTGGATTTAGTAGCATTTTTCTTTTCCATCAATAAAAACAGTAGTTTATCAATAACTTTACTAGAAAATGTTTTGTTTCCAGAACCAAAAACAAACTGTTCCTTGGTATAACATTGATGCTTTTCTTTTAATCAGAATATGTTCTTCAATTTGGAGTCATTTTATTCCACATAATAAACCTCAAGAAAACTTCTATAGTTACGTAATATGAAAAATATTTTTTTTCAGTACATAATGATGAGATCCAAGAACCAGGAAACACCACGTAAGTACGATTTTTAAAATACACCATAAAAAAATTATGTTCAATTTTCAAGATAAAGGATTTCTCAAGTTATACTTCATGTTAAAACAGTGGAATGGTTGGAAAATAGTATGTAACAGAGTGTTAAGAAGCTTCCAAATGTACTAATGGAAACATCATAATATTGATTTGAGTTCAAGAAGTTTTCCTTTATTTGAATAAAAGAGCAGTTTTTATCTTTCATGAATTGCAAGCTTTTCCAACAACATGAGATAAAGAAGTTGTAATGAATATATTTATTTTCAAGAGAATAACTCACTAGCTTAGAACAAGATTTGTATGTACGTCATATAATTTAAACAATCATGTAATCAAAACCATATGACAGTCATACAGTTAAATTTACTTAATAAAAAACAGCCCTCAGTTAAAACCTCATAATTAATATTCATACAACATAATACACATAATTCAAATCGTCATACATTTATAACCAAGAATCAGAGTTGTCATACAGTTAAAAGCATAGAATTAAAGTAAATCCAAATAATTAAAATAATCATCCACATAATAACAGCTATACAGTTAAAGCTACATAAAACAGGCTTAGAGTTAGTTTGTATAAATATGGCCGAGTAGTCAGCATATCAGAGTGAAAATCCAAAGACCTTGTGTTTGAGATGTGGTACAACTAAGCAGATTTCTCACTTGAAACTCTCTCTGCATGACAAGATTGACAATAAAACCCATTATTTGCCACACCTTTGATCCAAAGTTGAAAGAAGGGTTGTTTGTATCTAAGCCAGAGGAGTTGTTGAATTTGGTTGTCTAGCCAATAGTATGCATAAGTATTTTTTAAAAGAACAAACATGTCTTCAGTTAAGGCTAGATAATTAAACAGTTATACAGTTAAATCCATTTAGTTAAAAGTCACTCAATTAAAGCCACATGATGATGACTATATAGTTAAAGCTACATATTTAAAATATAATAGTCCTTAAGTTAGTCATGTAACAAATAATTGTCTAGGCAAAGCCATCTGATTTCATTCATACAATTAATTAAAACAGTCAGATTGTTAAGTCCACAAAGTTAACAGTCATACAGTCAAATCCATGAAATTAAAGAAGTCACACACTTAGTCACATAATCTAATCAGTGATATAATTAAAGTTCAGCCATACAGCCAAAACTACATAATTAAAACTGTCATCGTTAAAGCTATAGAATTGTAACACAATTAAAAAGTTAATTTCAGACATTGAGTATGCAGTAGTTGGAAGTATTAGCAAAGTACTTAGTCTACTAAAAATGACTTGTCTGTGTTTTGTTTTTAATCAGGTGGTTTATTCATGTTTAAATTTTTAATGATTTATTGATCTGAAAAACTAAATAATGTCTCTTGTTTTCTGAATAGTGAGAACCCACTGTGGACTGAACAGTAAGTTTTAATGTGTGAATTTCCTGTTATTATTATTATTATCATATCACATGCTTTGTTCACATTCAGGTCTAGCTAGTACATGCCATTTGAAATTTATCTACTTAGAATATAGTAAACACTATCTGATAACTATATAATAAATGAGTGCTGTATCTTATTCTGCTTTATAATAATTCCTCTTCCACGTGATAATTTTTGTAACACTTAAATACATAAAATGTTAATTGTAAGTTGTGTTTATTGTGTAATTACTAAAGCTTTTGTTGCAAAAGGCTATACAGGAATATCTGGAATAACCATTTCTTTATTATTATTATTACTAATATTTTTTAAATTTAGAACATAATGTCCAAAATAATAAGGTGTATTTTCAGTTTATGTTGGCTAAACCAGTTGTAGAAATTTCTACCCCATCAGTAACAAGAGCAAAACAAAAATACAAAACTAGGGTTCTTATAGTGCATGTTATATTTAGTATTTTGATTATTATTTTTTATTCACCACAGTAGTGGTTTTCACGTCTTTTATTCACCATAATATCTCTTATTATCTTAGATGGTATATTTGTTGAATAATCCAAATGAATAAATTAGTAGCATGGATGCTTCATATTCTTCAAAAAACCTATATAAATATAGATTCACTGTGGTAAGTAAAAGACAACCAAAACCATATCTTATGGTGCTTAATATTCTCCATTGTTATTAAAATAAATATCAAGCCTTTTATCTATATTTTATATTTAACATCAACTTTGGTACATTTTCAATTCAGTCATTCAGAGATTTTATTATATAGTTTGTACAGTAAATTAGTCAATTATTGAATAGACAAGGATAAAAAATTTTTAACAGGCAGAAAAAAGTGTGCTAAAATGTATATTGTTATTACTATGTAATTTAGTCTATTACAAAACTGGTAAAATGTTATGAATAATACATAATTTAATCTTTATTTCACGGATATTGTATTTGTAGAGCTTATTACAATAGCTTCTGTATCAAAGCATTTTTTCATACATGTTAAAGTCAGTATTAAATAATAAACACATTTCTTCAACAAATTAGTAAATTTAACATTTGGAAATATATCTTAGATGGAATTCTTTAAGTTTAGATTTAATATTTCCAAAAAAGTTATGTAACTTATAACTGAAATAGTGTAACAAATCCAGTAATAAACTATGATTAATTGAAAACCACATTTCTTCAGTAAATAACATTATTATTATTATATCTGACAGGAAACTAAAGCTTTATGAAGAACAGGTATGTAAAGTTCAGTTAGCAGTTTTTATAGCTCATTTTTTAGGATTTTGTGTCAATATCAGTGACAGTAGTCACAGATGAACAATCATGAAAGTTGTTTTTTTTTGTACACAGTGTCTCTATACAGATACCAAAAACAGTAGTTCTTGGTGACTCAATAAATGTTTAAATATCATACACATTGGTTTTTAATATGAAGTATGACTGTCAAAATATCAGTAGAAAGTTCTTGTCAGTTTACAAGTACTTACATATTGTACATATTAACTTTCATAAGGAGTATTTCCTGAAAAAATATTAAATAGTTTTTGTCACTTTGGAAGTAGTTACATATTTCCATATAAAGTATCTCTGCAAAAATATCAGTTAGTATTTTATGTTACTGGAAATATTTGTATATTATGAATGTTGACTGAATATCTTCGGAAAAACATCAATAAGTAGTTTTTGTCTTTTTTGCAAGTATTTAAGTATTATTTATATTGACTTTCATATAGAGTATCTTTGGAAGAATATTGATAAGTACTTTTTGTCATTTTAAAGATAGTTATACTAAGACCCCTTCATCATTGCATGCTCAAAAATGTTTTCTATACTTGCTATTGTTGGAATAAGCATAAGAATCAACTATTTTAAATATGCATTTTATATTTCTATTTATTTCCATATAAACAATATTTAGATACACTAATTTTAACAGAACATTTTGAAAGTGTAAGGTAACATGATGGATAGATTAATTGCCTTTTCTAGGAACTCAGTATGAGTGTTGCACCGGATCAGGAACATATCATTGTTACTGAAGCTGCCATCAACTTTGGAGATGACACTGCAAGTGCCATGTATGCAACACTAAGAAGAAGTAATGCAGGTAGTATTGGAAGTGTGAGCAATCGAGGAGGTGCAACATTAGATCGAAGCACCACAAATGAGTATGCCACACTTAACAATCATGCTAATGGTTCTGAACAACCAATAAGTGACCAAAAAAGTGTCAATAACACCTTAAGAAGACAAAGACAGCGAGAACCAGATGTGAGCATATCTTTACATTCTGTGCTGTGAAGTTATTGAATAAAAATGAAATAAGTAAAATATAAGAAAAATCCAGTATTTTTTATTATTTTATAAGCATCAGTCATAATCAAATGTCAAAAACTAGCAGATTTAACATTCTTAAGAAATGTAAAGTGTTTGATTTAACGAAAGAAAGCTGAACAAATATGAATATGGTATAACCCAAGTGTATTCATAAAAAAACAGAATTAAATGTTGTTATCATGGTAGTAAATACATGGTTTCCACAGGTCAGAAAAAAAAGTCAGTAAATTTTATATTCTAAATTCCTGGCCATGGAAACATTGCTGAATTTCATGTGATTCAGTGGTGCTTTTAGGACATGAATCATTAAGAAAATAAGTAATCATTAGTACCAAAAAGTTGCATACAAGTAAATTCTTGTGCATTTAGCATGTTACTATATTTAAGATATGCATAGACGTTTTATCTACATTCATCCTTTTTGTTTCCCATCAGTTATCATGGGGTATGAAAGCAGCTATAGTAGATTACATAAACAATAGCTGGTTACTACCTGAATGTAGCATAAGGTTCTGGAAAAAGCTTTGTTTGGTCTTCCTAAAACTTGGTTACTGAGGATTGTTTTACTAGAGACTAATAAAACTAAAAGTTTTTAACAAATTACTATTTAGAGATAGGCTGTTTCCAATAAATAAGCTATTTTCATTTTCTGTATTTTAGTGCATTAATAAAACAGTTCCCAGATAAGTACACACAATACTCTGAATATATAATGTCATTGATGTATTTTTGTAGGAAAGGTTTGAAAGATGTCAAAACACAAACGTTATTTTAGTAAAGCCAAGCAGTTCAAAGATAGTACAAATCTACACAGTTTTGGTGTGTTTTTCTTTTTATTTCATATCCGTACTTGTATTTATTCAATTAATTATCAAAAATAACTAATATTCATATAGAATAATTTATCAATAATTTGTTTTTAATTCATCATAAAACAAAATATACATTGCTGAGTGTTATGTATAGCATGTGATGTCATGTTACATAATACATCTTGGGCAGGAATCATTGCTAAACAATATCTGCAAGAAAATGGTAGAATTTCACCAGCAACAGTGAAGGAAAACCATTATAAACCAAAATATGGATGGCAGTATATAATATCAGTAAGTTAAAGATAATAACAAGTTCTGAAAAAAATTGAATTAAAAAATATTGAAATGTAGACAGTGGTTAATAGTGTGACACGTGTAAAGGTTTTCAAGAATATAATGCTCTCTGTTATCCATGAATTTTAGAAAGAACAGTTGTTGAACTTTGTCCACCAGTGAATAACATTATACATCCTGTTTACCTAATAATCTATAATTTATTGCATTGGATATCTGAGTAGTATATTAGGAAAATTTACTGTTTATCAAGCAACAAATAAGATGCAAGGGACAAAAAAGAATAAAGACTGAAGATAAAAATGAGCACTAAATTAATACTTTTAGTTTTGTTTTAAAACTATGGTTTTTCAGAACCAGGTTTGTTCACAAAGGATAAAATTAAAGACAAGCATTATAACTATTTGAAAATTAGGTTGACTGCAATGATTGGAGACTTGCAGGATTATAGAAGGTCAAGAAAGTTGGTTAGACAGGATATTTGGAAATCAAAAAGTATATGAAACAAGGGTGGCTGCAAATGTTAAATTAATATTAAGGATTTCTTCAAATACATTAAGGGTAAACAAAATGTTAGAATGGGAGTAAGGCCTTTTAGGGATGATATAGAATGTCTAATATCTGATGATTAAAGGATGGCTGATTTATTAAATTCTACTTCTTTTTTTCAATTTTTACTGTTGGAGATTTAAGCAATATTCCTCATCCTGAACAGTTACTACATGGAAATATGACTGAAAAAGATGATCACATTAATAATGAGCTTGTTAAGAAAAAATTGGGAAATGTAAAGGATGATAAAGCTCCTGGGCCAGATAATATTTACCCAAATGTTTTGGAGAAGGCTAAGGATTGAGTATGTGAGCTACTTACTACTGTTTTTTTCTAATTCTTTGAACAGTGGGCAGGTGCTAGAAGATTGGAAGTTGGCTAATGTTACTGCTCCTTTCAAGGGGGTTATAAAAAATTGTCCCAGTAATTATAGACCCATTAGTCTTACATCAGTTGTGGGAAAATTTTGGATTTTTTTTTTATTAATCTTTAAAATTCTTTGAAGAGGTTGCTGCTTATGTAGATGAGGCTACAAATGAATTTTCAGAGAGCATTTGACAAGGTGCCACATAAATGGCTTCTTAAAAAAAGTTATCTCTATAAATGGTGGGGGATAGGTTGGCTCATTGGATAGAAAACTGACTAGATGGAAGAGGACAGAAGGTTGTTGTAAATGGAGTTTAATCAAACTGGGTTGATGTCATGAGTTGGGTACCTTAGGGCTTTATATTAGGACATTTGCCCTTTTTGATTTACATCAATGATATACAAGAAGAACTGGTCAATAGAATATTTACATTTGCTAATAAAACTGAAATTTTGGATGTGAGGAGGATGCTCTTGCTTTATAAAAGCATTTGGATTGTTTGGTGAGTGGAGCAAATAAATGGCAGATGACTTTTATTTATAATAAATATAAAGTAGTGCATGTTAGATATCATAATTTGAATTATGAAATTTGATGGGAGTAACCTTAACAGTGTTATGGAAGAAAAAGATCTTAGTGTTCTGATTGCTTAGTTTCTTAAACCATCCGAGTAATGTGCTGGATTTTACGTTCTATCAACAGAAATATGTAATAAAAGTCTCAATGTTTTAATGTCATTGTTTAGGTCAAATTTGGAGTATTGTATTCAGTCTTGATCTACTTACCTTAGAAAGGGTCCAGAGGAAGGCTACTTAGATGACACATGGGATGGAAAGGTTGTCATACAAGGATAGATTAAGATCTCTAAACTTGTTATCTCGTGAAAAAAGAAGACTTAGGGGGGGATCTGATTGACGTTTTTAAGATTGTTAAGGGAACTGATAGTGTTGTTGCCTTAACTTTTTTTGTATTTAATGGTGATAATGGTAAGATTAGAGGACACAAATATAAATTTTGGCAGCTAAGATAGTTTTATTTTTCCAACAGGCTATTTGGCCTATGAAATGGGTTACTTTTAAGTGTGCCAGATGCAACTAATTTAAGGGAAATTTTTATAAATATTTGAATGATAAGAGCTGGCTTTGACTTTTTTTTTTTAGTTTAGTGGATAGGATGGCCTAGATTAGGCATGTGCAATTTCCTCCAGGATGCTGGCCGGATAGCAATTTATAAATGTACTTGTGGGTCACACTATATGAAGCAAAAGCAAAATTTCTTGTCATTACCATAAAAAGGGTACAAACAGTGTAGCAGTAGAATATACAGTGAATGAGAGTATTATTCAAATAATAAAAGTTATAGAAAATAAAATGTTTTAAATCATTTACTGTAACAGTAGGTGGATCAGATTCGTTCATAGCTAATAATCCATATTTTAATATTATAAAAGTTTTAGTTTTTTAGATTTATAAGGGAATATTTTTAAAAAATTCCTGAATTTCCCATAGTGTGAGAAATGTTAAATTTGTTTCCTCTAGGCATCTCCTGTTCTCTGATTTATTCACCACCCCTCCAATAAGTACGAAATTTAATGCAACTTACTCACTATAACATTGTCATCACTCAACAAAGCATAATTGTTCTAGTCTTCAATCTTGTTTGGTTATAGAGCCATCAAATAAAAAAATCAGACCTATCTTGCCACACCCACCTGTCACATCCTCTCTCTCAGGATTTGTTAATAGTTCTCTCTTACATTTAATCCTATACAGTTTCTAAGCAATAGAAAGCCAAGGTTTTCATCTATCAAATGATGTATTATATGACATAGTTCTCTGTACAGAGAAATGTCAATTTCTTTTTTAGTACAAGCTTTTTTTCACTTGGGAAATATATTGCTAGCTTGAATGAATTTCGAATGACTCTTGTTGTATAATTAGACAGTCCTCAGTGGTGATTGCCCCTATATACAGAATAATAGACAGTAAGACAAAAATTGAATAATTCAAATGCAAATGAGCTCATTATATATTATTTGTTAAAAGTTTTTTAATTCCAGAATTTTATCAGTTTGTAGGCACTTGTAATTTTATTTTTTCTTTGATTGCTTACAGAAAATAAATATGTTCATGGGCAGCTCGTGTGCTGTATTCAATTATCTTTTAAGAGTTCATCATGAGCTGTATGTTGCACATGCCTGACCTAGATGGACCAAAAGGTCCCTTGTTGTCCTTTAATGTTATGATACATTAATAAATGTTGAAATATTAAAATCTATTGTTTTGTTTATACTAATGTTTTTTAAATTTCAATTAAAATTAAAAAGTGTGATCAGTATGCACTGTCATAAACAAGTGAATGAGCTGATTTTGTTGTGCATGATCTGATGAAGTATCAAATTATTTGAGAAAGGCATGACTGATCATATTGGGAACTTTGAAAGATGAAATCTAAGCACACTGTGACTCTTAACATACAACCTGTTTTGTCTTTATTAAACAATACATGAATAATGTTTTGCAATTTTACATCTTATTATAGGTAATGATACATTACAAGCATAGATCAAATGGTCAGAGAATAAAATAATTTGCTAATGGAAAAGTTTGGGAAAAGTAAGGAAATTTCATTCTACCCAAGGTGTGGGAACCATGTAGATACTACTCATTGTGGAATGTCTTATTTTTTTCTGTCTTGCCTAAATATAGAATTTACTACACTAGCTTTCTCAAGCTACAGGTTTAAGAGTTGGCTAGCTGATGCCTTAGCCAGATGCATGTTAACTCAAGAATCACTGATGGGACCCATATTGGCCTTATAAACATTTTTTATGCACCAAAGTGATCAGTTCTTGATATTGAGTGTTGTATTAAGCAAAAATATGAAACTACTTATGAAATGCAATATGTGGCCCATTGGTAAAGAATGGTATAAAAAAAGTCAGTAATTTAAAGATTAAAGGATTGTAACTTGTATCTTTTTTTTTCAGGCCAGATAAGATTGATGGGCTAAGTTTTAGTTCCCAAAATTTTAAAAAGTTGCATTGCAATTTAACAAGTTATTAAACTTCACCAAAAGTCTCTCTGATTTAAAAATGGAGCTTTCTCAAGTATACATGTTGTTTTCAGTACAGAAAAATCTGTGAAAGAGGAATGTTTAGTTGGATATGTAGTTTTTTTTGTTGTAGTAATTTGTATATGGATCTTTCATATTAGTTAATATTGTTTGATGTTGCTCAGTGCATTTCTACAGTAGTGATTAATATATTTATTATTTTCACTTCTTACTTAACAGCATCATGAATATCATGAACTCCAAACACCAGTGCCACCTGCTAGTATAAATGATACTTATGACACAAGTCGTTTTCATCAAGATAGCAGCAGTCCAGAGCCATCTTCCAGTTTAGAAGGACCTTCTGAAGTGAGGCATTCAAGTTTAACAATTAACAAAGATGGTGAACCTGTTTTAGTAGCAGAGTTATTGTGAGTTTCTGAAGAGTTTAGTACCATAATACCCTCAAAACACTAACAATACTCGGTGTTTAGGTGTGAGTTAAAATAGTGCTTCAATGTGTCATTTATTCTGTAATTATTCTTTGTGATAATTCATAGAAAATAATTCATACACTGATCTACATTTACCCCTGGATTTCTGTAAACTATGACTCACCTCCCATTATCAACTTCTTTAATTATGTCATTCTTTGAAATGACATGCTGGTCATACAAATCTCTATCTTATAATTATATAACTTAGAGTCAGTATGTGTCACTAAAGTTAGTCTTTTAACTTCATTTTATTATTAATAATATAAAGAATGAAGATTAAATCAATTGAAGTATTCAATATTGTAATTCATTAACATTCCATGTCTGCTTGCACTATTTGCATTAGTCATTTTTCAGTTAGCTTTCTTAGGTAAAAACCATAAGATGCAATTGTCTCCTGGCTTTAAAAGGACTTCTTCAAAACTTTTGTGTAGCACTCCAGCAATGTAGTATGTCACCAAGTTTTGTATATATACTATCAATAAGAATATAATCTATAGCAATTCAGTTGAACATGCATCAAACCTGCAAGTTTATGATACAAGTTGTATTCAATTGTTATAAGACATTACTGTCCAATGCAATGGGTTTGAAAAATAAATTAAGAAGTGATTTGTTAATAGAGTTGCACAGTGCATATTTGATCAAAGTAAATCGTTAATGTTTACTCGATCACTGGGCTTGAAGAATCCGTAAAATTTGACAGAAGTATTTTTAACAAGATGGGTGGGACATGGAGTAAGTACTTCACATAACTGTGTTTAACAAGACATGTTGGACTGGGAGTGAGTACTTTGAGAAAACTGTCTTTAGTAAGCTAGGTTGGGTTGGAGTGATCACTGTGACAGTTTGTTGTTGTTTTTTCTTAAGTAAAGTGAATAATATTTAGCTTGATCTATCAGGTTAGTTGTGTTTTAGATTAACATGATTTGTATCTTTCATGTTTATTTTATTTTTTCACAAACAAGCTCTGAATATTCACAGTTTATCTTTTATTCTAGATGGGAACTGTTTTAAAATTGACATAGAGCTATATGAAATGTCTTGTTGTTAGTATGCATCCTTATATTTGATTACATTATGTATAATTGATGCGTAACTGGTAGAAAGACAGAGATGTTTTTCAAAGAAATAAATAACAATCAGGGTAACCAAATGTGTGTGTGTTGGTGTAAAGAAATTGAAAATCTGGGATGTACATGTAAGACTTTACACCATCAAATTAACTTCTAGAACTGGTTTATGACATTTATCATTAGACACTTGAGTAATGAAAGATGTATCAGTGCTGTCATTTAATGGTTGCTGCTCTTGATATAAAAGTTTTACAACTGTGTGTTAGGTTTTTATAATATCATGAAAATGTATTCTAGAGTCTTTTTATAGGTCATTATTACAAGCATAATTAAATACTCTAGTGATATATTTTTTAGAAAGAAATATTTATTAGCCTATAATTCTGAATACCATATAGTTTAATGGGGTTAAAGGACATGATGACCCCACCATGCTTTCACAAGGCTAAAGATCACTTTATAATGGAAGTTAAGAATATGTTCATTCATGTGTTTGTATGTATATGTGATAAAAATGAAATAAAGATATACTAACTGTTACTAAAATAAGTCATTTTAGTCATTCAAGATTATGTAGAGGCATCTTAGAATATTTTCAATACATTATTTCTGATTTATAAATTGTTCCTGGTTTGCTAATTTAAATGCTATTTATAATTTATTCTAATGTGGATAATGACGTTTTGTACACAAAGAACAAAGCAAAATCAAAGAATACTAGACACAAGAAGTAATCAGGTCTCTTCTTTATAAATTAATGCATTAAATGTTGTTACTAGATAAATATTTAAGTATGAATTTTCGGATAAGGTAAACTAGCTCCAAGTTATTTGTCTAATGCTCTGTTATTCAAATAACTGATAGTGTTTATTTCTGGAAATAAAGTGATGTTCTTAAGTTTTTGTTGTTAGTGTAATTTGTCTTAACTTACGATGTTGGAGTACCAACAGGTTCTGTGTGAGTGCTTGTGATTACCTTTGTATTTTTAATATCAGATGTTCAACATATTGTTGCATCAGCGAGGTCACATGACTAGTGTCACGCCACGTTTCTAGAACTATCCTGTAACTTGGCGAATGCTCTAGCATTTACTAGATATAGGGTAGTCTGGTATATAAAAGAGGATGACAACGTGACGGGACAAGAATGTGTGTGTGTGTAGACAGTGAGTAATTGATCTGCAGTCAGCGAGTATTATTGAAGTTGAGCACGTTCGTTGTTATAGCGTTTGTTTTAGCGCGATTGTTGAAATTAAGTGTATCATAAAGTTATATTCGGAAAGAATAAACCAGTTTTATTAAGTAAGGAGTTGTGTCGCTAAAGTTTCGTCGGAACGAAGTTACGGGAAAGTTAATTAACAAACGGAGACGTAACACTATATATAAATATGTCTAGTTGAAGTTTGTGGTTGATCTAGTAAAATATACCAGAACTGATTCCAATAGCTTAGGCACCCTGGAGGCTCAGTGGTAAGTCCGAGGGCTTATAATGCTAAAATTTAAGGTTTGATGCCTGCGATGGCAAAACACAGATAACCCATTGTGTAGCTTTGCCCTTAATAACAAACAAGAAGCTTGTATAACAAGAATCGGCCCTCGAATGGATAAAAGAAATCTCGTATGCTTGTGATACAACAGCGGAAGTCACGTGACGCTGCTGGCGCGTTGGCGCTGGTAG